ATCTAGCTCGAATTAGCGAGAAACGAGACATGTACATATCATTGCACCTGAGTTTCTGCAAAGGATAGGGAATCGCGAAGTGTGATGAGAAAAGAAAGGGTTCGACTTAAACGACTGATTTGAATTTGCTTTATGGATTATCATAATGAACGCACAGTTTGGTCATTGTAGGATATTAGATGTATAGTTAATCTTGTCAAAATTGTTTGATCGTTTGACATACGATTGTAATGAGGTTCATCGTAATATGTTATGGTTTTAGAACTTTGTCATGTAATTGTTCTCATTTATGTTTTCAAACATCCCGACCAAATTATTTAACAAAAATTGATTGTGTTGTGTACTTGATAACATTTGTTATGTGTCCCAAAATGAAAGTTTCCTATACTAAACTGGGCATTTTTCTAAGTGTAGTAGACAAGGCAACATAACCGGTTTCCTCGTTAAGACAAGCCTAGATATTTAGACTTTAGACATGGTTAAAAGAATCAAAAGAGCTAAAGTATCTTCTTATTGTGTTTAGACGTTAGACTCAATGCAGTGTGTACTTCAATTCACTGTATGTTGAAAACCTTTGTCAATGCAATAATGGTAATAAAAAAATTGGTTACCATAAAGCACGTAAATAAATAATGGGGAATTTACAAAAATGTCACAAAAAATGAAAGTTCCAAAAATTTTGTCATTTTCACTTTTTGTAAGCAAAAATGTCACATTTTTTGGGTGCAAAGTCCAAATTACCCTTAATGACACATTTCTAGTAGCATTAAATGCTTGATTTGAAAGAAAAGCATTGACTTGATGTGATAATTTAATTTCTATATAGAAAACATGGAGAAATGTATTTTTTATTGATTAATATGAATTTTTGTTAATGAAAAATCACCAAAAAATTTTGAAAACATAACATAAACAAGAAACCCTACCTTTTCTCCATCTTCTTCATTTTCATTGATCAAGAAGACATTTGTGTTACATTCTTCATCCATTTTGAGATGTTAACAATTACAAATTATTTATATTTTACTTTTATAATTTTTTATTTGTACATGTTAAATACAACATTGGCATATTTCTTTGAAATTTTTGAAAGTATTATACATTCATTTGTTTGGTTTTGGAATCCCTCACAAAATGTCATTATCACCATTAAAGTTTTAAGTAACTTCTTCCATTACCACCATTAAAGTCTCTTTAATGACAAGGCCCAGATGTCATTTATATTTTGTCATTTTGTAGTTGAATAATAATGACCACACTTAATGCGATGTATTGAAGAAGCTTGAGAAACCCACTGCCGTCTGCTTTCCGACATTCTCAACAGTTTAACTGTCGAGTTCGACATGTACAAACCGTCAGGCTAGACGTTTGAGATGTCCAACCCGACATTTACAAACTGTCGGGTTATACAATTTTACTTTCGATTCGGACACTTCAAAACTATGGAAACCCTTGATTTGACCTTTTGCTATTGTACGGATTTACGTATTATGCAGTGTCACTTTCATGCTATTAAATGCCAACATATTGATTCTGAATTCTTATCGTTGCAATCCCAACATTTCAGGTATGAGTAATCATTTGAAATTCATCGTGTTGCATGGGGGGAAGTTTGTTCATGCGGATGACGAGTGGAAGTGGAGGGGGGACAAAACCACTTCCATTCTGGTGCCGACAAGTATTACCGTAGCCGAACTTTTGTTAAGGTTGAAGGACAAACTTGGTATTCTTGATCCCCACACTCAAATTGAATTGAAGTTCAAAGTCCTTAACTTGAATATATCTTTAGCCGAAATACCCGACGATGAAGACTTAAATTGGTGGTAAAAGTGATTGTCAAATGTAATCCCGAAAATGTTCCTACCTATGCAGTGTACATTCTGAACTTATGTTATTAATTTGTTTTTATTATCATATGCCAATAAAAAATTGGTCGTTATGTTTTGCAAGCGAAGTACCATTCATTATGGTTCCATTAGCACAAACATGATGTATACGTTATTTTCATTATAAACTTAACTGATCATTATGATTCCATTAGTTTTGACTGACAGTTTGTCGAAATGAAAATTTGATTTTCATGAAACGACAATTCACAAGCAAAACACCAACATTACATCCCGACAGTTCATATGTCGTTCCCGACAGAT